TTACTACCCCTTGAGACTGGAGCTACCAGGGGCTGAGACTCAGCAGAGTCCAGAAATGGTGGTTTACACCCACAATTCTGTTCTTGTCTAGGAGCCTTTCATCCCTGCAAGCAGCTTGCCTGCTGGAGGAAGGCACCCTGGAAGAGGCCCGGGGAGCACAGCAAAGTCTGCTTCTCAGAGGCAAGGTGGAGGTGCTAGGACTGGCCCAGGAGGCCTGGGGAGCGCGGGGACCTAAGGGACTATGTGTGCAGGTGGATGGCTCCTTCAAGACGCCCACAGAAAGCCCCACACATCTGTCACCTGTCCCATCCTTCATTCTGCCAACTCTAGAAATTATCTAGAGTAATCATCCTAAGGATCCTCAACTAGGGCACAGCATTAAAGACGTGAGCTTTGAGGCAGCATCTCTGAGCCTTGACGGCGGCGCAAATGGCCGGCCATTTCCTGGTCCACTGGGTAGGGGATTAGCATACTGTGTGTGGGAGCTGCTCCATCTGTCTTCCTGTTCTTCATTGCCAGCGGCAAGGTGGAATCAGCACCTAACCTTTGAGTCCATGAAGGGTAATGCCCCAAATGCTCTGGGGAAATGCACTCCCTGGGATGGCCACAGCATGGCATCTGGACACCCTCCGAGGTCTCAGCTAGGCTCCCTCTGCCGCTGAGGCAGCTGACAGTTAAGGGCTGGGGGTGGGGGATTGTGGACCCTGGGTGTCAGGGGGTGGGGTAGCAAGGGCAGTCAGGAGACCCAGCCTCTCCACCAGCTCTGCCTTATTTATGGAAAAGCCGGCTGGGCAGTGGTCTCCTCTGGCCTCATTAGTAAATCAGGTTTCTTAATTGACTCATCCAGGCTTGAGAGGTTCTCTAAGCCCTGTCCCAGGGCTGCCTCCCCAGAACCCTTTGCCAGCACAGCCCTCAACTTCTCTCCTTGCCCAGGAGAACGAGCCACTCACCCTCCCCACGTACCCTCTCTGCTCCTCCAGGCTCTCTTCCCTGCTCTGACTGCTCTGACTGCCTCTCCTTGCCTCTCCTAGGCTCTGTCTCAGCAGCATCTCCCCTTCACTTGGCTGGAACAATTGCCCCGGCTTCCTTCCTGGGAAGGAAAGAAGGTTAAGAGACAGGGTTCCCAGGATGTTCCCACTGCCCACCAGGGAACACCTCCTATGGCTAGCTGGCTTCAGCAGCCTGGGCCTCTGTCCTGCAAGGTGACTAGAGTTTGGGGAGGGCTTGTGCTCAGCTCCCTGGGGCTCTCATCCTGGACAGGACTGTGATTTGCACCAAGGGATTTTGACCACCGTGGTGAGGTGAGGCCACTGGTTGCAAAGTTCAGTTTACAACTCCTGCCTGGTATAAATCCTGTTGTGGTGAGCCAGGAAGGAGAGGGCTACAACAGAGCTGGGCTGAGCCACGCTGCAGGATACAACCATGGGCGAGTTCTTTCACCAATCCGGGGCTCGCTTCATTCATTAGTTAGCTGACTGCTTGGACCAGACAGTGGTAAGAAACTTTCCGGCTCTGGCCTTCCAGAAGACTCCAGACACGCAGCAGGGATTGGGAAATGTGTTTTCCAGCCTCATTTTGCAGTGGCAGGTTTGGGGCCAGGAAAACTGGATGATTTGATTTAAAGGCCCAGCAGCTTGGACAGTCACAAGAGAAGCATGACCTTAGCTGAACCAGAGGTAAAGAACTGCCATCTGTCTCCCATGGCCACCAAAGACTTTCGGGATCTGACCACCCCATGGAAAAGAAAGGAGAGGCTGCAGCTGAGATGGCCAGCTGGCACCTCATCTGCTCAGTTGACTTCATCTACTTGTTCACCTACTCATGGCTACATTCACACCTCCAGTGCTTAGTGAGCTCCTATTTACTCTTCAAAACCCTATGCTGTTGTCACCCTGCTTTCCCTCAGGAAGAATGAAGTCCTCTTCTCTCTACCTGCACTGTCATCACACAGGCTTCACTTCTGTTGTAGAATCTGGAAGACTTCATGAAAGGGCAGTGAGTCTGAAATCAAGTTTGGTGAATGAATGAATGAATGAGGGGAAGAAGTGAGATGAGCAGAGATATGGGATGACATCCCAGCGGGAGAGGTCCTGTAGGGAAAAGTCAGTGGAGGAAAACAGCTCGTCGATCAGGAAGTAACCAGAGCAGCCAGGCGAGGGGAGGGGAGCATCCAATCCCCTTTTTATCATTCACCTCACAGATACTTGAGTATTTGACTTAGTGTCTGTATACTAGACTGTGAGTCTTATAAGCCCATCTGACAATGTCTGTAGAGCTTTACCTGAGAAGTACCACATAGTAAATGCATGATTAATCATCCTTAAATGGATTAGAGAATTCGGGTTCTGAGGAAGTGGGCAGGGCAGGGCCTGAGTGGCACCAGGCATCAGAGACCCAGGCCCCACACAGGGTTGCCCAAACCAAGATGCTCAGTTAAACCTGAATTTTAGATAATTAATAGATAATCTTTTTTTTTTTTTTTGGTACCAGGGATTGAACTCGGGTCCTTTTGGTTGCAAGACAGGTGGCAGAACCACTGAGGTAAATCCCCGGCCCTTAGATAATCATTTAATAAATATGTCTGAAATGTTGCCTAGGGCATACTTATAATTAAACAGTTGCTCATTATTTATCTGAAATTAAAATCAAACACATTTTTGTTTACTTATTTTGGGAGGGTTCTGAAAATCTTATTCATTTGGATATTTTTGCTTATTTTCTGCTCATCTGTCAACCTACTGTTTCCTCTTTTTATTTTGCCATATTTTTCTCTTGTTTTTGTCACCAAGATGACCTCAGAGTTACAAGGTAGCTGCTGGAGCTCCGGCCTTTATGTTTTTGATTTAGGAGAGCAGAAGGAGACAGGGAGAAAGAACAAAAGAACAGCTGTCTCTCATCTGAGTCATCCTCTTTTAAAGCGATTTTCTCCATCAAATACAGGCTGATTCTTTGATGATCAAAAGGAGTCTTTATTTTGTTAGGTGTGATAGCTAGGGTGAATATATAAGAAAATGTCCTTCTTTTTTTGGAGATGCATCCTAAAATATTTTGAGGTAAAATGTCATGACATCTGTAATTTATTTTGAATTACGGGGAGCGGGAGAGAAGCAACTATGGCAGAATGTTAACAACAGTTAAATCAGGGTGGTATACTTGGGTGAGCATTACACTAATCTCTTCACATTTCCTTATGCTTGACAATATTTTTAATTAAAGTTTCAGGTTTTGTTTTTTTTTAATGAGACAGATTATCCATGATCTTTGCTGAACAGCATTTGCTTTCTTCTCATGGGCCACCCTGGCAAAAAGAGAGGCTAAAGAAATGTAGCCTTTTAGCAGGGCGTATTGATGCCTGGAGGCAATCAGAATTCTGTCAAGGAGGAAGAAGGGCACAACAGAAGTCTTGCTGCTTTTGCAGAAGCCAGCCCCTTGGCCTTAACCAGGAGCCACAGTACGGAGACGAAGGCACAACCAGCTGCTCCCCCAAGGGTGGGTTTTGAGAGCAGAGTGGTCTAACCCCAAATCGGTGCAGGCCACAGCTACTTCACCTTTGTGAGCTTTGCCCGGATGCTTAAGTTCCCCGGAGCCCTGTGGCCGAGTCTCTAAAGGAGAACATGAGCCTGGCTCCCTCCCTCACAAAGGTGTTCGGAATTTCCCAGCTCGCTGGGCTTGGCCCACAGTGTGAAAGATCCCTGAACAGAAAGCCACATTTGGATCTCTTGTCCCAGTAAGATGAATTGGGCCCCCTTGGTTTCTTTCTGCTCCACGTTCCAGCTCTCAACCAACCAGGAACCAATGGCACCTGGCATAGCATTCAGTGTATACAAGACTTTGGAGCTATGGATAAACACACACTTATCTGCCCTCTGCATATTTGGCACATAGCAGCCTTGCTGTGAAGATTTGAGGGCTGGTGGGGCTGGCAGGGAGCAGGCCTTACGGCCCACTGACCGATGAGTGGATCATGGCACACCCATGCAGTGGCATGTGATTCTATCATCAAAAGGAATATAGTACTGACTCATGCTGCAAGACAGATGAAGCATGAAAACTTTATGCTGAGCTGAAGTGCTGATTCCAAAGAACCATATACTGCACCTGTGCTGTTTTCTTCTGTTTACATGAACCATCAGAATGGGCAAATCTACAGAGACAGAAAGCAGACAAGCACCTGCCTAGGGCCAAGTGGGAGGATGAGTGAAAATAGGGGATTGCTAATGGATATGTGGATTCTTTTCTGGTGATAAAAAATGTCTGGAAGTTTTTTTGTTTTCTCTCTCTTTCTTTCTTTCTTTCTTTCTTTCTTTCTTTCTTTCTTTCTTTCTTTCCTTCCTTCCTTCCTTCCTTCCTTCCTTCCTTCCTTCCTTCCTTCCTTCTTTCTTTCTTTCCAGCACTGGGGATTGAACCCGGGGCCTAATGCAGGCTAAGCTAGTGCCATACTACTGAGCTCTATCCCCAGCCCTAAAAATGTCCTAAATTTGACTATGGTGATGGTTTGTTGTATGGACCTACAAATACATTAAAATTTATTGATGGACCAGGGATTTAGCTCAGTGGTGCTGCCACCTGCCTCGCAAGCACAAGGTCCTGAGTTCGATCCCTAGTACCAAAAAGAAATCTATTGAATTGTACATATTTATTTATTTATGGTGCTAAGGATCCAACACAGGGCCTTACACATGCTCGGCAGGTGTTTTACTACTGAGTTACACTCCTAGGCCTGAACCGAGCATTTTAAATGAAGGATTTGTGTGGCATGTTATCAATATGCCAACTACTTGGGAGGCTGAAGCAAGAGGATTACAAGTTTAAGGGTAGCCTAGACAATTTAGTGAGATCCTGTCTTTAAAGTAATTAAATAAATAAATAAATAAATAGGATTATAGATGTAGGTCAGTGGTAAAGCACTTGCCTAACATATGTGAGGCTCTGGATTCAATCCTCAGTGTTGAAAGAGAGGAGGGGAAAAAAACCCCTGTTTTTCAAAAATGAAAAGATAAAGCATTCAGAAAATGGGAGGTTATTTTGTCTGTGACAATATTATCAACAACATGTTGACACTGGCTGGGTCTCAGTGTGTGTGGGTGCCCAGGAAGCCCTCAGCCATGAACAACCTGGAAGATTCCCAGCATCTGGGGGAATTCCAGAAGCTGAGTCCAGCTAGCACAGTGGGTGTGGAAGCAGGAAAGAGCCCTGCCTGGTTCCTGCCACGCATCGAATGGCTGGAGTTAATGCTCCTACACTTACATATATTGACCGTTTACCTCCCTCTGATCCCAGCGCTAGATCTATGAGCAAGGAGAAAGGAAAAAGGAGTTCGGGTTTAAACTCTTATCACTAAAGCGAGTCTCCCTCTACATTAAAAAACTATCCAGACCCTGTGGCAGGAATGGGCTCTGTTCTTGGGGCATAAATTTGTGTGTGTGGAAAAAAGACTTATTGGTGAATTTAGCAGTATTTTTCGTTGAACTGGCAGTTGCTAACCATTACACCAGTATTTATTTGATTCTTAAAGAGTACAAAACCATGGACCACAAATAAAGAAGATGGAGTAATAGTTTGTGGCTGGGCCACGAGCTTTAAACTTGAAATGAAGTGTCCAGTTTTGAGTTACTGTGTCCAACCACCATTTGTACAGTTTGAAAAGTGGGGGCATTTTTCCAGGCTGTCAGTGTGACTGTAGTTCATTCCCGTGAATGATATCGCTGAAGGAGCAGTTGTTCTGCTGTGAGCACCTCACTCATGACCAGAATATATTAAATGTATTAATCTGGGCCTCCCAGCATAATTTAGGAAGGCCCTCTATTTGACACATTCCTGTACATCCTTGTTTTATTGCTTGCTCTGGCAGGTAACAATGTCTCAAAAGTCTTGCTCCTGAATGAAGTTAAAATTACATGTCACCCAATAGCATATGCAGTTGAGTGGCTTATTTGCTGTCAAAATTACCACCCTGCAACAACATGAGACGTTAATGGGGACGTAGCATGATTTACCTCGCTGGCCCTGGGATGGGAGGGGAGGGCAGACTCCTGTATCCAAGTAGCCATGTGCTAGGGGAAGCTGTGAATGTCTCCACCCGTTGGCTCTGCCTTTAATACCCAAACCGTGTCCCTGAGCATGGGAGATGAGAGTGGGTGGTGTTTGGATACCCTCCCAAATAATTGCTAAACTTGTTTTAAGTCTGCATGGGAAAAAAAAGTCTGTTTCAAGTAGGTTAGTTCTCCACCAACAACAGGATTTATAATCTGTTTTCCAGTTAAGCTGGAAACTGTTGTCTCTTAAGAATATGCCCAAGACTTGACCTAGGAATGTCTGATTTTAAGGGTGCAGGGAGCAGCCTAGATTTACAATTTGACACAGTATTTTTCTACTCTGCCAAACCAGAGTCGTCTTTGGAATGTTTATGAGCTCAGGTAGCAAGAGAAAGCCGCAAAGCCGAGGTGTACCTTTAATGACATTAGGGATTATCTACTTGAGAAGCATGTCATACGTAGTTTAAAACCTCCTAGGAAAGAAGGAGAACAAATGGCCGATAAGTATATGAAAAGATGTTCAACACTAGCAATTAGGGAAATGCAAGTCAAAACTGAACTGAGATCTCACCCAGTCAGAATATCTATCGTCAAGAATATAAAAAACAATAAATACTGGGGAAGATGTTGCGGGGTGGAGGGGGGCATTTTCCCATTGCTAGTGGGAATATGAATTGGTACAGCCACTATGGAAATCAGTATGACGATTCCTCAAAAAACTATAACTAGAGTTACTATTTGATCCAGCTGTATTAGTCCTTGGTATATACTTGAAGGAATTAAAGACAGCATACTAATAACAATGTTCACTGCAACATAATTCAAAATAGCCAAGATACAGAGCCAGCCTAAGTGCCCATCAACAGATGAATGGATAAAGAAAATGTAGTACATATACATAATGGAGTTTTATTCAGTCGTAAAGAAGAATGAAATTTTGTTACTTGCAGGAAAATGGATGGAACTGGAGACCATCGTGTTGAACAAAATAAGCCAAACTTAGACAAATATCATATCTTCTCCCTAAAATGTGGAATCTAAAAAAGAAGGGAAACTAATAGACAAGAGGAAGGGAATAAGGAGGAGAGGGTGTAATGAATGGTACTACTAAGGGTGGATATGATCAAAATATGTGCATTGAAACTCAATAATTTATAAAATTAACAGGCACTAATAATAAAAGAGAAAAAATAAATAAACCCACGTGGGTACAAAAATTCAGTCCTGGGTGCTTTAGCTTTTCTGGGCCCTTCCTACTCACATGTGCACAATTAAAAGTATGTTTTATAACTTCATTGGTACCAAGACAAATATAATTCATGCTAGATTCATGTTTATGTAGTCATTTCTATATATTCATTGTTTTCTGATTTTAAAGAACTAGAAACTAAACATTTTTGTGAGCCCTGGGCACTGGGCCTGCTATACTTGATCTAAGCTTCCAGCCATTCGCCAGTGTTTTGTTTTGTTTCGTAGAGCTGGAGGTCAAATCCAAGGCCTACTGAGTGCAAGACAAGTGCTGTATGGCTAAGCTACACCCCAGCCAGGAGTCTCTTTGTTTCAAGGCCAATATAATCTGACCCTGCCAGCTCATGGAAAGGCTTAGGTGAATGGTATCTTGCTTCCCCAGCCTGGTCCAGTTGCTCCCCAGCCTCACTATTGCTTGTCACCCCTGGGCAAGGTTGGACACATTCTGCTTCCCCAGCCTTCTCCTTCTTTCATTTATTTCTCTTTATTTTACGTAGATAGGCCAGGGTGCTGCTGTGGTCTTTCCAGTGCATTTGCAAGATGGGGACATCTCTGAACATGGGAGCAGAAAGCTCTACCTGCAGCCATGGAGGCCTGCAATGATGGCAAAGGGCATTAATGATGAGCTCCTGCCCCTGACCCCGACCTCATCAACCACCGCTCCTCTCCCCAGCCGGGGTCTGCAATCCAGCCAGCTGCAGAGGAGTTTAAAGGGTAGCCGTCCCCAGTCAGCCAGCTGGCCATTAATAATGTTTTCATCCGTGACAATGACAAACCTGCAGTACTTGTGGAGAGTTTATTAAGGTCAGTCTATAAATAAGAATTAAAAATTTTTAAAAAATGGGTTGACACAGATGAACAGGCAGATGAATAAAGTGTTTGGGAAGAACAATAAATATAAAAGTGGACAAGGAACTCCAAGAGGAAGTCTGGGAATGAAAGGTCCAGCCCACTTTGTCTCTAACCTCATCTCAACTTTAGATTTCATGAAACCGCTTTCAAACTTGCAGGTTTCGTGATTCCAGGCCCTGCCTAATATTTTGTCATTTAATGCCCATTCTCTCCGCTGATAAAAAGAATTGCAGCCATTTCTCTATGTCAAGCCCATAACTGAGAGCTGGTAAAATTTAAATGTCTCATCTGTCCTCAAGCTTTTTAATGCAGATGGCCTTAGCTGACTCAGGCCTGCGGGCAGGTGGCAGTGGTGTGCAGCTTACCCAGTCTACCCTTGCTGTCTTGCGATGGACTCCCCTAGCAAAATGACCGTGGAGGTCCCAGGCCAGAAGTGTGTCTTTCTGCAGCTTGGTCTCCTAGCTCACAGGATGGAATTGCCCCATGCAAGGTGTGGGCACGTATCGTCCCATTCCACTTTCTCAACCATATGGCTCTTCCTACAGTGGCCTTGCAATGGGTGGGATGATTTTTAATTGTGTATTTAAGCAATTTGTTTTCAAACCTGTTTTGCCCGTGTCTGCTTGAGTGGCATTCAGAAGGAGCCCAGGACAGACTCGGGAACAGTTTGATGGTTTCCATTTGGAAGATGTTTAGGGCACAGACAGGTTAGGCTGCCCTGAGATCACTCAGCATGGAGGAGCAGAACCTGTCACTGTCCACTGAATGTAGGGAGGGGAAAGCTGAAGGAGGCAAGTGCTGCAGGAAAATGGTCTCAACTGGTACCCTACCTGCCAGGAACGTCTGTGAGCAGAAAAGTGAAATTGCTTCAAGGATGTCCGGGGGCATCATGGTAGCTCTGCAGGGCTGACCAGCCCTTAAAGATCCTTCTGAATCATGTTGTTAGAATTTGGGTTAGGTTGGTGTTTTATTCCAAATAAGGGAATAAATGTCACGGTGTCTCCTTTTTTTCAGAAAAGACAGTGAAATGGAAGTCCCTATGGTAATCAATTCTCAATTGTGCAGAAGCATCAACAAATCAGAATGGCCCAATGGTCAGGCTAGTGAGTTCTCTTAAATGTTCTACCTTCTGTTAGTTCCCACATCTTGCAAGATTCAAATTCAAGCTAGAGAGCCTCAGGGTTGGACACAGAGTATGAACAGTATGGAATTCCCACTCAGAGTCACAGGCAAGAAGGAAGGAAGACTTGGAGCCTCTGGTCTAAGGATTCGGTTCTGCCATTCTATTCAGTTTAGTGAATGTCTCGAGAGTATGTCTTCTAAGCCAGGTCCTGGGCCAAGGGCACAGGGTAGGGGGAGGGAAGAGATACAGTAACAACAAGCTGGCATGGGACCAATCGTGAGATGTACAGTGATGGCTATGTCAGTAGTGTAGACCACCACTCCACCATAAAGACCTCCACAGGGGAAAGGAATTCCAGGAAGGCTTCACAGAGGAGGTATCTCAGTGAAATCGAGGCTTGAAGAACAAGTGGAGAAATGTCATATGGGAAAGGAAAGGACATGCTGGGTGCTATGGGCTGAACTGTGTCCCCTTGAAATTCAAACGCTGAAATACTAACCTGCAAATAGTATCTTAGAATGAGACTATTTGGAGACAGTGTAAAGAGGTAATTAATTAAAATGAAGTCACTGAGGTGGGCCTTCATTCACTCTGACTGATGTTCTTCTGAGATGAGGAGATCTGGGCACAGAGATCTGAATCACCTTTGTACAGGGAGAAGCCAAAGAGAGAGGCCTCAGATGAAATCAGCCTTGAGAACTTGATCTCAAACTTCCAGCATCTAGAATGGTGAGAAAACAAATACCTGCTGTTTGAGGGTGCCCAGCCTATGGCTCTTTGTTAGTGATAGTGAAAAAAATATACCAGGGACGCAAAGAGCTCCAACCAAGTTCTGGAAGTGACTGTGACTGAGTACTCAGAGAACTGTGTTGCTCTGAGGAGTTGGAGAAGCCTGAAGGAGACAGAATCTGCTTGCCAGAGGCATCTGGACCCCAGAGTTCTTGGCCCCTTCCATTTACAAATTTTTCTTTTCTTTCTTTTTTTTTTTTTGTACCTGGGATCGAACTCGGGTCATTGCGCTTGCGAGGCAGGCAGTGAAACCACTGAGCTAAATCCTCAGCCCCCTTGGCCCCTTCCAGATGGATGCTTTCATGGGCACCCCGTGGCAAGCTTTCCCCTTTCTGCTTCCACCTTCCCGGAGGAAGCTGGACACGCACTCTTTGCTTTGCTTCGGTGCAAACTCACAAGCAGATCCCAGCTCAGAATGCCATTCTCCTTTCCTGGGTCTCCCCAGTCAGAACCATTTATACTCTATTTACTTGATGGAGTAATGTCAACAGATACTCTAATGACTAGGGTTGCATGTCTCCTCCAACAGTCTTGCTTCCTGGCCTTTCACACCTAAGACCCTCCCAGGTCTCTCTCAGTGGATGACTACTGGGGGAAACTGAACTAAGCTCAAAGCCAAAGCCCAACTAGAAGATGTTTTAGAAACAGTAAAGCCTCTGTGCTGTGGGAGTGTGTGATAGGCTGATTAATGGCTCTTAAGCATGTAAGGTCCTGATCCCTGGAACCTGTAAAATCTCCTTATATGGAAAAGGGTCTTTACTGATGTGATCTTGAGATGGAGGGGTCACTTGGATTATCCTAGTGGGCTTGAATGCAGTTACATGCATCCTTATAAGCAGAGGGCAGAGAGAATTTGACACACATAGAGATGCTGATGTGAAGACGGAGTCAAGATGGAGCAGCAGATGCTGGTCCTGAAGACAAGAATGATACAACCACAAGCTAAGGAAAGCCAGCAGAAGCCAGAAAAGGCAAGGAAAGTATATTTCCTTAGCGTCTCTGAGAAAACAAGGCCTTCCTCACATCCTGATTCAGCCCTCGACTGACTTCAAATCTTTGACCTCTGGAACTATGAAAGAATAAATTCTTGTTTTAAGATATCAAGTTCCTGGTAATCTGCTACAGAAGCCACTGGAAATTCATATAGAGGTAGGTCAGGACCCTCCATTAGGCCCCAACACCTGCTAGGTCTAGCCCTATACAGTATTAGCTTTTTGTTACTCTAAGGAAATATCTGAGATAATCAATTTAAGGAGAGAGAAAGGTTTAACTTTGAATCATAGAGGTTTCTGTCCATGGTTGGTTGGTCCTGCTCCTTTGGGGCCTGTAGCAAGACAGCACTTTACCTTATGGCCAGGAATGAAGAGGAAGAGGAGGCACTGGGGTCCCGCTCTCCCCTTCAGAGACTTGCCTCCAATGGCCAGAAGATTCCCAACAGCTCCAAGCTGGAGATCATGCCTTTCACATGTGTGCCTTTGGAGGACATTTCAGATCCAAACTAGAGCAATCTCTCTCTCTCTCTCTCTCTCTCTCTCTCTCTCTCTCTCTCTCTTCCTTAGTTTCCTGCCCTGTGCACTTGTGCAATGGGAACAATAGCCAACCTCATCCTGTGCACTCTGCAGCTCTTTTTTCCAAAGCTCAGAGAAGGCCTGGTATATGCTGATATGCATCGGGGTCAAGGGCACCCACAGGATCAGGCTTGGGAGCTCCAGCAGCTGCCCCACAGGCAGCAGAACATCACAACCTTGAGTCGACCTTGTTATCTGAGAGCCCGAGGAGCCCCCACTGCCATGTTCACTACATATTCTCACTTATTGTGCCCAATTGGATGATAAATGCAGAGGCTGCAGGGACACTGGGCTGAAAAGGTCCTGCCAACTGAGAGATGTAGCTCAGGCACCATAAATAATTTCCTTCTTACTGGGGATTTAGCTCAGTGGTGTCACCGCCTGCCTCGAAAGCTCAAGGTCCAGAGTTCAATCCCCGGTACCAAAAAACAAAAACAAAAACAAAACAAAAAAAATAATTTCCCTCCCAAAGGCCTGGCTTTCTTGAATGCGGAGATCCTGGAGGGCTCTGCTGCCTGCCTCACAACTGACAGTGCTCAACAGGAAACCAGAAGTGGGGGAGAGAGGTCATGCACTCCTGGTGTGCTAGCCCTCCTGGGGTTTGGGGGCAGGGCTTGGGTCCAGAGGGCCTCCAGGCAGGGCCTTGCTCCAGGGAGCAGGCTGCTCAGGAGCTGCTTACCTCCGGTCAGGGAGCAGTTCTAGGAGCTGCTCACCTGTATGGCCCAGCAGTGCCCTCCCTTGAGGTCCTCTCCTGGGTCACTGTCACCCCCCTCCACCTTAATCCCACTAACTTTCTGAGTCATCCTCTATCACTGCCATCCTCACTTTTTGCACTGCACTTTTCACAGCCTGAAATCACTCACTTTGTCCTTATTTGTTGTATGTGATGGACAGAGGAGGCTGAGTCTTCACTGCTGTCTCTGTCATAGAGATCTCACTCAGAAAATACTGAACGAGTGAATGAATGAGAGTGGGCCCAAGAGCCAGAAAGATTTTCCACAGACTACAGAGGGGTGCTCAGAATCAGTATAGTAAAACCTCAGTGGGAAACTGGGGCCTCTCTCCGAGCACACAAATGTGCCTGTCCTCCCGAGTTGGCATCACTGCATGGGTGTCCGGGACTCTCTAGAGAAGATTCCAAAACCTTCATGAAGCCTCTGAGGGGACTGAGGAGTGAGGAAGGTCCCTACCATCAGAGAGAGCTCTGATCCTGGCCCAAAGCCCATGGCAGGAGACCCTCAGCCACCCTCTAAAGGATACCCAGGTTATGATGGTGGCTGTATCTGGGGTCAGACAGGCACCAGAGGGTGGCAGTGGGAGAGATGAACAGGGGATCTCGTGTGAATTTCACTGATTAGTCACAGCATTCTAATTAAAGGCCACAAAGCAAGGCCTCAGGCTTCTTTCAAAGAACGGGGGCCATATTCATCTCACAGCCCTGTCGTCACTAGTGATGCCCAGCCATCTGAGGGCTGGAGATTGAGTCCAAAGCTTACCACGCTTCCCTTACTCTTTTGGAGCTGGGACTCATCATGGGCTGCACCCATCTTAAGGGGACCCCTTCATTTCTTCTCTGCATCCAGTTTCCTTGGTGACATTTTAATCAGTTTGAACTGGAAAGAAGTCTTCCTCTCGTCACCCTCTGAAAATATTTAATTGTTAAACTTCCTTTTAAAAAAAATTTTGCTGCTTAATGTTTCAGTATTTCTAAACAAACCAATTTTACAGACATTGCGTCCTTAATGGGACCTAATTATGGGAGTGTTCCAGCAAAGATGCAGGGGCTGCGGGGGTCATTCAGGAAGTTGCACGTTCCCCAGGAGGAGGGGCTGCAGGAGGAGCTTGGAGGATTCTTACATCATTACACACCATAATTACACGTACTTTTACTAGGGGCTGTGAAAATGCTTTCTTACAAATAATTAAATTCAGCACAACCAGAACTGCATTGAGAAGATACAAACCTTTCAGAAAAGCAACAAAATCAGCACCTGTGGATTAAATCTTTACAGTCACCTTCATTAGGCCTCAATCCATCCCCTCTATTCACTCTCTCCTGAGAGGGAGCAGAAGAATTCCCCTACAGTGACAATGGCTTCAGTCAGAAAACCTACATCTGAGCCTCAGATCTGCTATATATCCTGCGGTTGGAATTTGGTGTGAGTTATTTCCCCCGAGCTTTAGTTTTCTTATCTGTAAAATGCGGATCAGAGGAACATAAGGCTTGGCAGAGCTAGGAGGATCAAATGAGATGATGGATGGAAGCATGCTTTACAAACTATGAAAGGCCAGATACACTACTCAGAGATTTAGCCTCTCTTGGAGAATGTACTGGAGGAGCCAGAGGCCCAGATGCCCAGGCCAGTTGCCTGCCAGACAAACTGGAACCCTCCACCGAGGGTGTTCTGTCTGCCCATTGCCGAACAAACCTAACACTTCTCTTACATTTCAGGGCCCACCGTGCTCTCAGAGACCCATGGTCAACTGTCCCAGTATTTCTATTTTCACTCTCCTTTCTAGTGACTGGAGACCTGTAAGATGGGTATTTCAGAAAGCCCAATGTCTGGGTCTCTGGGCCACCAGCTACACCATCAAGCCTCTGACTTAAAAGTAAAATTAGATCATATGATGGGTGACTCGTTGAAATTAACCTGTAATGTTTTTGGTGAAATCTTTTATTGAATAATCATATAATAACCCTTCACTACATATTTCTTGAATAAAATGATTGATTAGAGGTATTTTAAAAAAATAATTTGGGAGTATAAATAGAGATTTTGTTGGAACATTTTAAACTTAATTCTGTGAATGTCCTCTCCTTCCTTAAACTGGAACCTGACCCCTGTTGGAGCAAGAAAGCAGGATCGTGATATCCAAGCTGCGTATGATTAGAGTGCCCAAGTGGATACTGTGCTAGTCTCCATGTGCCATTCTCAGCCCAGGAAGACTTGCTTGTGGTCTCAGACATGGCAGAGTCATTGAGGTTTAAGTGTATGTGTACATGTGGACAAGATCATTGTCTTTGGTGGGGCGTGCAGAAAAGGTTATGATCATCTTTGCCCTCAGTGGGTGCTCCACTCCACTCCCTGGAGTCATTCAGAGCTGTGGTCATCTGGCCACTACTGGCAGATTCTACCCATGTCCCATTACCTGCCTCCTACAATGCCTGTGGCTTGTTTGTTATTGGCGTGAATAACGATAACTCTCCATTGGGATACAACATGACTTACTGAGACCCCTCTAGAAGCCATTAAATGGACCCAGGGACCTATAAAGACAATGAAGGAATGCAGACCATGGTCCAGTTGGTACTTTGGGGAGCCAGTCACTTTGCAGAAATGCCATTGTCGCAGTGTGAACAGAGCCCACTGAAAGAAATCGAGAAACTGAAAACAATAAGTGGCGTCTTCCAACTGAAGGAGAAGAGCTGGGACAGACAGAGCAGGCTGCGGTGGGGTTCTGCTGATGGGCTTCCTGTGTGGCTGTGTCGCCGGGCCAGTGGGTGCCACAGCCAGACCTCCTTGCTCCACTGCAGGCCCTACTGAAAGATCTATCTAGTTCCTGCTTTTCTCAAGACAAAAGCTCATTGGCAACTGGAAATGATTTTGTAGTCAGTCATTGCTGACATTTAAAGGGTTTTGCTGCTGAAGTCATTTGGCACAATGGCAAAGGACCCTGGTCCTTGGGACGGTACTGGTGCCACCTTCTAGCTGGAGGAAATTGGGAGCCTCGCTGGCCTCTTTGAGCCTCAGTGTCCTTGTCTCTAAAATGGGAATAACAATAACTGCAAGAGTAATCATGTCATAAGGTCATCGTAAGACTGAATGGAATCATCCACAAAAATTACCCCGCAAATGCTAAGTGTTCAAGATATTTTGCTATCTCTGTTCTGAAGAACATTACAGGTATTAATCACATTTTTGTCTTCATGGTGATTTTATAAGTTTGTAATTATTATGACTATTTCGGTGATGGGGAAATCAGTGCTCTGGGAGGTCCCATAACTTACTTGCGGTCACTGAGCAGCCAGGAGTGGGGCTGTAGATGATCCCAGCCTCTCACCCCAGCCTTCAGCCCTTCGGGTGTAAATCAGCATTTCAATTTGCCAAGTCACTCCCAGAGCTCACTAAACAAATCAACATGGCTATCTCATCCAGTGCTGTCAATATTGTGGGCACTAGTCACACGTGGCCACTTTTAATTACGGTTAAATCAAGTTACTTATGGCTGGACTGCATTGGCTAAGGCAGCCTTTCTGTCAGCTCAGCGAGTTCTCTTGGACACTGCTGATCCCTTCTCTGAACTCTACCTATTTCTCCTTGTGCAAAACCTTCCTTTGAGTCAGAGGCAGAGTCTGTTTCATCTAAACCAGCCCACTGGGAGAAAGGAGCGTTTCTCAATCTGTAGCCAGTCTGATGGCAAAGACAGCTGTGTTCCAGTTTTGACCAGAAGGAACAAAATCCTGCCAGGGCAAAAGGGAAAATTCACTCATCAAGTATTGTTTAAATTATTTGAAAACATACTGCATCTGTTTAATGTTTAAAGCCAAAGAAAGTGGCAAAGTAACCGAGCATGAGATAGCTTTCAATAAATAATCATGGAATAAATAGGAATATTCGCATGGGAGCCCTGCAAATGCACGAGTAGTTTGGTGCCAA